ATGATTAATTGGATTGTTTGAATTAATCATCTAAAAATCAACTAATAAGTGATTTGTTGCTTTTAACTATTAATTCCGCATTTGGATCTAAACTATCCAGGAAAATAATTTGAAACTTTCAGGCTATGCCTAGCAAATAAATTATCTTTTGAACGTCTTGTTCACATTTTTTTGCACGAGGATCTGAATTGCACAATGACAATACATTCTATGTATAAAGGCTAAATCTTTTTTAGAATAGTATAATTCTTATATACATTATTTTCATTTTCGACAAATTAGTGTAAAGTTTTACAAGATAATGTCGAAGACCTTACACGTAAGCTAGTACTATCACAAACACGTTCGAAAAATCGAGTTGAAAGTATTAAAAGAATAAGATTAAAACTTACTTTAATTCGCTTGATGAAAATATGAAATAACCCTCAGACATTTAGAAATGCTAAAAGTGTATCATCTAATATTTTGGAGAATTGAAAAAAAAAAAAAAAAATTACATTTTGCAAATGATGATTGTTTGAAATGATTGTGACTAGGGTTGGGCATGAGATGTGTTGGGTCGGGTTTTTACTCAACCCAAACCCAACCCAACCTAATCAAGTTCGATCGAGTTGGGTTGGGTTGATCGGTTTGATGATATTTCTAAATATATACTATACTAGAACATGTATAATCTTGGCAAAAAAAATTATAATCCCGGTTGGCCTATAACCAGAACTCTAACAAAACAATATACTAATGTTCTTCGGTTACTCTATCTAATTTGAGATCTCCTAAGTTATTTTTTCTCTGTAATTCTATAAATATGTTCAACCCGGGTCTCAAACATTATCAAGATCCACAATGGAAACAAGACAGATAAAAATTCATAAAAAGGACAGAAAATAAGATAAAACTTTTGGAACCTGTGTTTGACTTAGGAGGAGTGGCTCTCCATTTGCAACACGAATTTGTAGCAATAACATTAAGAGATTCATCCATTGGAGCTGAAACAAGGAGTTCACGTGGATGAACCTGTGCCCAATTGAAATCTGAATTTGGAGTGCCAATTGAAACAATTGAATGATTACCCATATTCTTCAGACCCTCAATTGCATTTGTATTAGTCGAATTTGTGGCAATAACTACTGAAACATCACGGACCCAGCTTCGCAGCCTGCATGTTATTCTTTTTGAATTTAATTCAAGGCTATGAAGTGTTGTTTGGATTGAATTGGGGCCATGGTTGGGGACATCTGAGGATGGGAAATTGATTGTTGGTGGTCCTCGACCATGACCGTCACCGGAGGAGAATATTTCGGCAGAAGTAGAATGAGGCTGATTCAAATTTTGGGATGTAATTTCTGTTGAATCTGATGCTGTTTGGGTAGATTGTTGGTTGATGGTTGTGGAGAATAGTATGGAGAGGTTGGTGGTGGTAGTATCCGGTGGACGCGGTTGTCGGCGTTAGGGCTGTAGCTTGAAGAATGAAGACGAGAGAGGCTGTGTGATTTGTGTGAGTTTAGGGCCTTTTTTCTCCTTTTATATATCGGATTTCTTTTTTTTCCTTTTTTTTAAATATAGGCCGGTCGGGTCGGGTTGGGTGGGTTGTATCAGTTTTTTTCGGTGACCCACAACCCGACCCACATAATCACCCCCAAACCCGAAACCCACCAAAAAAAATTGAAAACCGGGTTGGGTGGGTTAGGCGAGTTTGGGCGGGTTTTGCCCCGCCCTAATTGTGACAAGATTGGAAAATATTACGTATGACATGGATTCTAATATTGATAGGCAAAAGTTATTTTTGAGTTGAAAATTATGGGATGTTTACGAAAAGAGAAAAGGCAATTGAGATATTATATTAGGGATGGGAAAAAACCTGTTCAACCCAATGTACATGCTAACCTACCTCGAATGAGACGAGAATTACCCACGTAACCAGGTAAATGGGGCGGGATCATTGCTCCGAAGTAGATATGGGGTGGGTATGGGAATCATAGTCCCCGTCTCACTACTCACCTCGTTTAAAGTTAATTTCAAATTTAACTTTTTTATCAAGTAAAAATAAAATATTTATCATCAGTTTTAAAGAGAACGTGAGTTGTTCTTAATAAATTGAAAAAAAAAAAAAGTAATAATATTTACTAACTAAAGATATAAAAATCATAAAAGTAAAAAATAAAATAAATAAATAAATAAAATGAGCGCAATAAATGGGCAGGGGCCGTGCTCCTTGCCCTGACCCCTCTTTAACTGAGTATAGGGACATAAGAAAGTAACAAATTTACCAGATGGGACTGTGTGAAAATGGCCGACCTGTCCTATACCTACTCCGTTGTCATCCCTATGTTATATTATCTAAAGTTGATGGATTGTTGTTTTTCAAATGTGTGAATTGCTTATATAATATTATTGACTATTCTAGTTATAGTTGTCGCTGTGGAGAGAAGCTCATCAAAGTTAGAGTTGATAAAATATTACCTTCGATCAATAATGTCACAAAGAGATTTAATAGACTGTCGATTTTTTTTATTGAGAAACGTGTGTTAGAACATATTGATTATAATAATTTAATTATTGATTTTCATCTAAAAATGCTAGAAGAGTAAATTTAAAGGACCTTTTGAAAAGTTTTAAATTATTATTATTATTGTAATGTTGTTTTACATATTTGCCACTTTTATAGTGATATAGGATGTTCTTTGGCTTAACCCTAGTTGAAATAAATGGTTCGACAAATTAAGAACATTGATAGTTAAATCAAGCACGTACTTGTAGTTAATCAACCAAACTCGATTGTAGTTCTTTCCTTGGTAGTGCCTTTCCCTATTACGAGAATTTGAGGATTAAAGTGAAAAACATGGGTGGAGTATGTTTTGTATTTACTCGAATTTTCTCAGAGATTTTAGAAATATTTTAAAAGCTTTTCCTAATTTGATTTTAGTGGATTTAGCTCCAATTTGGTATTGATTAAAATTAGATTTTAATCCAATTCATAGTCAAATAATTAATAGTAACCACATATTACATTAAGCTCACAATTTTTTAATCACTCATTCCATCAACTTTTATCATAATCTATTAAAAATATAATTTTAATCTCCACCAATCAAGGGCTTAATTTTGTTTGAGAATTGTTTATAAATTACTTAAATTATAAATAGATAAAAATGAATGGCGAATAAGTGACTATCACTTGTGAAAACTCGAAATGTGTGAACAAAAGTGACAAGTATTTATAAGTCCTTGTTTTATCCCCCCCTTGAAAAAATGCATTATTGAATAGTGTTTTGATCACATTATAATCACACATTTTTCAATAAAATAATATTGCACGCAAATTCAAAATTTTTCATTATTTTTTAACCAAATATTTCCCCAATACACTATTCAAAAATGCTTTTTTTTTTGACAAAAATGAAGCTCAGACAAGCTCTAAATAATTTATAGCACATGAGCTAAACAGATGCTTTGTATAACTCGAAATTTATTTATTCAATTAAAGTTGTATTTAACTAATTTCAAAGCTAAATATACGATTATCGTGGGTTAATACTTCCATCACACTAACTTCTTGTGACATTGTGCACTTGTTTGTATTCAGTCGAATAAGGAGTACAAATTTCGACCTTATTTAGAGTATGTCGATCATAGCACAAAAACTAATAAAAATTACTTTTAATATATTTAAATTTTATCACTCTAGCGCTGTTCAATCCAACATGCCTAAATTTGAGTTATGTTACAAGTACATTGGAGTATACATAATGGTATACATAATGGCCAAGTGGCTTTCCATCATTGGGGGTGGAAAAAGTTGTTTCTCCCTTAACTAACAGGAAAATGCCACTTGACCATTATGGATACCCTAATGTACATGTAGAATTACACCTTGATTTACCTAATTTGCACTTGGCAAAATCTCACATCACCTTTTACATTTCACATATTTAATCCAACCATCATCCATCGTCACATCATTCATCTATAAATCAAGTGGTCAAGGAGGTGGTACAGATAGCTTAACTCGTAGAATTATCCCCAAATTTTCCACCGATAGATGTAACTGGTGGCCAAAATCTTCTGGTACATTGACAACTACCTTATCCAAGAGGAATATTCCACAAACAAGGCATCTTTACTCAGCATCAATCCTAAATTTCTAATCTCAACTAAAGCTCCCGAAGCGCACTAAATATTCGTGTAGACCAAACGCCTTAAAGTAAGAAGAAAAATTTCCCATTTCGGCATTTCACAGCGCAGCCTGTAATCACGCTCCGTTTCGCGGGTGCTAATATAACAAATTAAGAATTAATAACAGATTAACCGTCCTAATCTTGCCAACTCACCAACCTTGCAACCCCTTGACTTGCATAGGTGTTTTTGAAACAGTGATTTTTCAAATTAAAAAATAAGTTGAATTTACACGTAATATTATTTTATAGCGAAATATTAAAATTAATCCCAACCGAATTATATATATATTTTTATTAATTTTACACTATGAAAAATCAAAGTGTGTCAAACTAGAGCTTAATTCAAGACAAATAAGATAAATTGAACATAATTAAAGAAAAAAAAAACTATAATTAGCAATTTCTCCTCTATGGCTATATAGAATTAAAATGTAAACAAATATGGTCCACACTAATTAGAGATGGCGGTAAAATTTACAGGTAAGTGTAGTGCTACTGTTCAAATTAGTTGTCTGATACATTGTGCTTCAACAGTTGTACATTCCACGAAAATTGTACAAAATTGCCCCACACTGTTTGTCCTTTTACCTTTGAACAGGTCTCTTCCATCTGATTTTTCTTCAATTTCTGTATATTGCACGAAGCAAAATTCAATGCCTGAGAAATAATTCTTCCTTTACAATTTCTCTCATCCAATTTATGACAGGTTTGAAATCGAAAATTTCATATCTGTTGTAAAGAGTTTGGAAAAATTTTGGTTAAATAATGGAAGGGAGATGGATTGAAGGGAATAAGATGATGGAATTTATTAATAATCCAGCAGTCATGGAGACGTTTGTGGATATATTGGTCTGCGCGGTGCCAATTTGGGTGGCGGTGATGATTGGGTTGGTGATCGGGTGGTCATGGCGGCCGCGTTGGACCGGGTTGGTTTTTCTCGGGTTTCGGTCTAAGTTTCGGTTCATATGGACTGCGCCGCCTGGGTTGGGGGCTCGACGATTTTGGTTCGCGTTCACGGCGTTATCGGCTTTTCCGGTTTGTCGTAGGCTTTGGTTTAGCTTCCGGGGGAGGAGCCGGAAGGAGGAGGCATTGACTCAGGACCAGGCGGGTTCGAGGTTAGTTTCTGGTCCGACTCTAGTGGCGGCGGCTCTGGAATCAGATGCTGTAGCTGATGCCGGCAGTGGTGAGATCAGGTAGGGTTGGAATTTGGCGTTTTCTTTTATTTTGTTGATTATAAGTTGAGTTCTTTTAGATAATAGGTGCTGTTGAGATCAATGTCTGTGCGTGCATTCATATAAATTGTTAGGGAGGAATAATTTGGTGGATATATGCTGCGATTTCAATATATGAAATCAATAAGCTGCTGGTTCAGAAGCTGCCTTGTAGTCTTATGTTTCTATACTATGAGACTTTGGATACCTACACGTAGATACCTTTATTTATACACGATGGAGAATATTCAAACAGGCCCCATGAATTCATTCAGAAACTTTGCCATTTGACCTTTTTGGGGCAATAAGACTGATTTACCAACTACACTTGGGAATGCACATATCTCACTTAATTTTGCATTGTCTCCTGGAAATTCCTAATTATATTTCAGTGTCGGTGGGTGAAAAAGTTGGGGTAGCGTTTTTGAAAATTTTATTGGTGTTATTCAATTTGTTTTAGTTTCTAATTTCTCTAGCATTTCTCATGAAGTTAACCAAGTTTTGCCTATAAGGTCTGGTTAATGTCTTGTTAAATGAAAACATGCCATTGTTTGTGATGGTCAGAAAACATAATTCTGTTGTGTTTCTTTTTTACTCGACTCCTTGCTTTTCGAATAAAATGTTCTTTTTGGATTTTTGAGTGCTTGCAGCATACAATGGGAAAGGTAGTTCAAATGCTCAATGGGCAGTCTTTTTGGAGAACAATAATGTCATTGGTCTTACATGTTTAACAAAACATCTGAATGTGATAATTGATGTGTCTGCTTGTAGCATCCTATGATTTGCATCCAAACAATTTACCTTTCACTTCTAAGATTTTACCTTGTTTTAAAAACCTGACCGTGCGTCGACCTGGAAAAGCGAAATGGTCAAATGATTGAAGGGTCAAACCGTAGTTAAAGATAAATAAATAATTTCTAAATAATAAACAAATATTAGATAATACTAATTAAAATGCCCCATAACTATAAAAAATTAAAACAATCACCATTTTCCAATATGAAAAAATATTATGTATTAATATGAAAGCGTAAGTGTAATAACCCAAAACTTACCCTTTGAGTCATTAAATATGTATTTTAAAATAAAAACTTAACTTTCATAAAAATATAGCTTTTGTCCCAATTACAATAATTGAAAAAGAAGAATTACTAAGGGTGTGTTTGAGCCACATTATTTTGGAAGAATGTATTTTTGAATAGTAGATTGATGGAGAATGTGTGGTTGAAAAAGAAGGAAAAGTTATTGATGCGATGGAAAATATTATTTTATTGAAGAATGTGTGGTTGAAAATGAGTAGAAGAATGAGAATGAAAAAAATAATGTGTACCAAACAGGGCCTATATTT